TTAGTGAACCACTTTACCACATTCAGTAATTAAAGCATTATCTGAGTATTTCAAAAGCTATGCCACAAGTATACATCCTTGTAAAAACAACTGCTATTATGCTTTTGGCTCAGGTGAGGCAATTTAGAAATTATTTAGAGGACTTTGAACTGGCTTGAAGATCAATCAACCGCTGTACTTCCATATAGGACAACCTTAGCCTTCACAGTTGTGTACTGGGAAAGCATTACTCAGCCTTTAGACTCTAGCTTTCTAAGTAATTTCACTCTTAAAGAACTTTAAAGTTTGGATTGCCACCTGTAGCATATGATCCCAAATATTTATAGCATTTACACCTGTGAGAGGGCTATTCAGAAGATGTTTGGAAGACTTATGATGTGGTGTGCTTTGCAGGTTTGACAAAGCACAACTTAAATCAGTAAATCCTAAGCAACTGATTTAGCAACTCATCCAGTGCTCACGTTGCACATCAGCTTTTTTCCTCTTCAGATGTACATACTAGCTTTCTGGAGGGATAGAAGCAGTGGAAATTATGTATTGGTGTTTATGATATTAAGAGGTGTGAGAGATATCATAAGCCTGAGAATGGGAAATTTTGTAGGGAAAATGATAGTGTGACAACACTTTAAATTTGTTGTCTGGGATATTGTTGGTCTTAAATGAGGACAGGATAAAAAGGCTTTCATGAGATGCTTCTTTAAAATCATACCCTTTGGCCAGTAAAATTTGAGACATGCTGGATTAAATAATTTACTGCAAGATATAATACTGTTTAATGTATTGACATGTATATTTAATTTCTAAGAGAAGGGCATAGTATATGGTCACAGAATCCTTTTTCTGTGGGGCATCCATCGTAGGAACCAGCATTCCCTAGGACACACTTTAGTGAATATTGTTGTAATAGAATTTATAAGTTGGAATATGTGTGATGGTATCTCCTCCCGGCTGCTAGACTGGACCCCATTGTCCTGCCTACTGGTGTGTTTTAACTTTATTCCTTCTCTTACCCTCTGTGAACCAGATACTGCCAAGTCCTTATGCTTTTCCATATGCAAGTCTTGCTTGCACATTGCATTTTCTGTTTCCTCTTTTCAGAATCCCTCTCTGGCCTTGAATGATTGGAACTCTCTTCTCATTCATCTCCACGTCTCATCTCCGCTCATCTACCACAAACCTACCAGAGTAATCTCTGTAAGTTTTTCTATACCAAGCAACTACGCAAAAACCATCAGTAGCTTTTTATCGCCTATGACAAAGTACAAACTTTTCAGCCTGCCTATGTGAGGTTCTACCCAATTTTTAAAAAAATTTATGGAAAACATTTAACGTGAACTTCAGCTTCCTAACAAACTTGTGTCTGAGACTGTCCTATCTGTGTGCACACTGGATTGCAGCTCTTTAGACCTTTCTTTTCTTCCTTTACTGAAACTCTACATCCAGTGAACAATTACTCCTCCCCCAGCCCTTGACACCACCATTCTACTTTTTGCTTCTTAAGAGTTTATTTTAGATGCCTTATATAAATGGAATAATCCAGTATTTTTCTTTAGGTGACTTATTTCATTTTTTAAAAATGACTTGCATTTGCTTCCTAGCATAAACCTTCAACTAATCATATATAGTGGTACCTTGGTTCATAAACACTTGTTTGAAAACAGTTTGATTTGCAAACAGAAGCATTGGGCAAAATTTTGCTTTTGTTTGCAAACTCTGCATCAGATGATGAACACAACTGTGGCCATCTTTCTCACCAAGTAAAATGTGGCTCAATTTTCCAAAATCATAGGACAAATTAAATTCATAAACCAAGGTATCACTGCATTTAAATGTTTTTAAATATTAAAAATTTTTCATGAAATATTTCAAATTTGGAGATGTTACATTTTTCCATATTTCATATAACTCCCTTTTGAAAATAAAACCATTGTAGGCCTTTTTTTTCTTTTCGTGGCATTGAGGTGCTGAAGATCAAACCTTGCACATGTTAGGCAAGTGCTCTACCACTATGTACTCAGCCCATATTATGGGCTTTTCTTTTTTAAAAATTAACTTTATATGCATAATGATCACATTCGTCATAGGGAATTTGTACTTGTACATAGTATATCTTGATTCCTCTTTTTCTTCCAATCCCTTCTCCTCCCTTCAACCCTCCATCCTTATTTACAAAACTTTTTGTTTTATCCTCTTCTCGTTTTTTTCTTTTCCCTTCCTTTTCCCCCTCTCCCCCTTCCAGTTCCCCTTTCCTTTTGAATGATTTCTTCCTGTTTTTCATTATGTATTATACATTTTGGTCCTTATATATCCTTGTAGTTTCTCACACCGGAGTGACAATGTGCTATTTACACGTGTGCCTTATTTCACTTAAGAGTAAAGTCTCAGGGTGCATCCATTTAGCTATAAATGTCTCAAGTTTAACTTTCTTTATGGCTGAGTAGTACTCGTTGTATAAAAAAACCACATCCTTTTTATCCATTCGTCGGTTGATGTTGTTTCTAAGATTTAGGTATTACAAACTGTGTTGCTATAAACATGGGTGTGTATATATCACTGTGGTATGATGCTTTTAATTCTTTGGGGGAAGATACCCAGAAGGGGAATAGCTGGGTGAAATGGGACTTCTAATTGTAGTTTTTTGAGATCTCCACACTGATTTCCACATTGGTTGCACTAATCTGTACTCCCCCTAACAGTGGAGAAGGGTTCCTTTTTTCCCACAGCCCCACCAGCATTTGTTATTGGTTGATTTCTTGATAGCTGTTTTTCTGGAATGAGATGGAATCTCAGCGTTGTTTTAATTTGCGTCTTAGATGACCTGTGATGTTGAACATGTTTTCATATACTTATTTGCCATTTATACTTCTTCATTCGAGAAGTGTCTGTTCATTTCAGATGCCCATATTACAGGCTTTTCTGAAGACCCTTTTATACCTCATCCCTTCCAGAGAAGGCACTTTTTGAAAATGGTGTTATTTCCAGGCATGTTTTAAAAATTTGTATAACTGGTTTACATAAATAAACACATACTATAAATACAATTCTTTATCTCTGGATAGTAATGTTCCATTGTATGAAAAGGTCATAGTTTATTTCTTCTCCTATAAATGAACAATTAAGATTTTTCTAAAGTTTTTCATATATAATGTTGGAGAAAATTTGCTTCCCATTATCCTTTTCTATATATTTGATTTTTCTGGGCATGGTTCTTAATATTTCATATCATACACTTTTTTGACACTATGAATCATCTGGATCCCTTCTCAAAATGTTTACAAACACATATAAGAAATGATTTAATTATCAAAGTATTCTAAAAATCCGGTTTATGATATAATACACATGCTTCCAAATCACAACATCTATTGGTAACTTTAATAACTACCATAAATTGGAAGCAGTGCAGAGTAAAAAAGGGGATATTTGGAATATTTATAATTTCTACTGGGACAGCTGAAGGTACTTCTGTACTGTTGTGTTTTGTTGCTTCATAAGTGAGGGAAACTCTTAATTTCAGATAAGGTAATTTTGTTCACATCTGGGTTCACAAATTTTACCATTCATCCAGTTTCCTAGGTTGTGTACATTTTACAACTGACACAAGTTTACCGACTATTTTAATTTTCAAACTGTATTAAAATAACACACTGACATTGATTGAGCTCTTAGCTCCAGGTACCAAGTTAAGTTTTGCATACACTGTTACCTCCTGTAATCTTCATGGCAACCTCAAGAAAGAGATTTTATCTCCATTTTCAAATAATACAAATTGGCATAGGGAGGAAGGTGAAGTAACTTACTCTTGACTCACATAGGCCCCATATAGTCAAGAGCTAAAATTCAAATCCTAATTGTCCAACCCTGAGATTGAGTTCATCACTATGTTACAGAATTCCTATTTCCATAATTTAAAGGAATTGAACTTTTCATTATATTAACATGTTGCTATTGAGTAAGCCAAGGTGATTATTATATTTTACTCATGACAGTATAAGGGAAAAGCAAAGATAAGTTTAGTGTTAAATATATAATGGATTTTGTAAACTTCATAGCAAGAAAGAAGTCACAGAATATAGGAGATAGTTTGAGATATACAATTCTGGTCTAATTTAAATGTATTCTCAGAGTTCATCATATAGCTTGTATAAGCGAAAATGTTTACACTTTATGGAGGCTGTGAATTATGTAAGTGACCAGCTTTTTTATCCCTCATTCTTCCTATTATTTTTCCTGTAGCAGGAAATCCTAGGGGCAAATGTATTATCTGTCTTTTGTAATTATTCAGAAATTTTGCACATGTGTAGCTGAATTCCTTGTTCCATTAATGCTGTTATTTTATTATTCCTCATCTTTAGTTTGTCTTCTTGCTGTATATTATGTACCCTTACAAGCCACGACACTGATAAATATACATATTTACATGTTTACATATGATAAACTGATGTGGTAAGCAAAATTCTAAGTTGACACGCAATATCGCTCATCACTGTTGAACACTTTTTCTTACTTAAGCAATCAAACGTGAATCTAGGTGATACTTTGAAGGCAAGTTGCAGACACAAGTAAGGTCCCAAATTAGGTGACTTTAAAAGAGGGAGATAATTTGAGTGTGCCTGACTTAATCAGGTATGTTGTGAAAAGGGATTGAGCCTTTGACAAAAGTGAATCAAAATAAGAGGGGTCTTGAGAAAGATCCTAATCACTGGCTTTGAAGATGGGGCTGCCACATGGGAAGAAATGAGTGGTTTGTAAGCACTGAGAGCACCAAGTGAGGCCTCCATTCTAATTCTATAGCTGCACAGAACTAAATTTTGTCATGACCACAAGCTTAAAGGAGAAACTTGAGTTCCCAACAAGAATGGAGCCCAGGTGACATAATGATTTTAGCTTTCTTGCCATGTCATGCCCAAACTTCTGACTCACAGAACTATAAAACTGATATCTGAAACCTCCTAAGTTTTTGCTGATTTATTACATCAGTAATAGAAACTAAAACAACTGAATGTTTTGCTTCACAAAATTACAACTATTATTTGTTAAATATTTATTGATGTTAAACCCACATTACACCAGCACAACAGTCCAAAGTAGTATGATAGTACTTTTTTTTATAAATACAACATAAAAGGTGGCAAAATAATGCTAGTTAATCCCCAACCCAGCAAATTAGCAAAAAAAGTCACATTCAGAAAAATTTGGCAAGTTAGCTATGACATAAACCATAATTCTACACTATAGGTAAGTCCATGAGACTCTGGATGTTATTTTATACTCCACTTCAGCAATGCATGTAAGTGTGGTAAAAGAAACTTGCACCACACTGCAGAGAACATCTGCCACCCGTGCTCATTAATCATTTAAAACTCGGTTGATGACCTTACAAAAAAGTAGAAAGCTGTACATGTGAAGCAGTAACATGAAATACATGGGGTGGTATACAGATATAAAATTATTTTAAAAATATTATGTATGAATTGAGTAACTGAGCTAAGAAAGTTCAACACTTTTGTTATAAATAATGAAAGCTACATGTGTTTTGCATAAGGGATACAGTGTTTTCTTTTCTTAGTAAAGTACCATTAAAGCTTCATGTTTTCTACTATTAGGCCAAATAATTTTTTGTCACTGAAAAATTTCATTGGTTCCGACTTAAAACCATCAAGTCTGGTCAGAATCATTTCATTCTAGCTGATACAGAATCATATGCATTCAAAAAGTGGTCTTTGCAGAGATGCCTTAGAAACTACTCAGGACCTAGCACCTTCTTAAGATAGTGTTTCATGGCAGCAGGGAAGTGAACTACTTTCCATTCTCTGTATATTATTAGTGCCAATGGGAAACAAACATTATAGCACACAAATCTGTTTTGGCCTCCCTTTAAGCCTCCACTTCTCTCAAGTAGACGAGCTCCTACGGGCATTTTCTGATTTAAGCCACTCTTGCAGTCTCTTATCCATTTTCAACTTGCTCTACACATCTAAAATCTTCAGATACCACACAAACTCCAGATACACTGAAATCTCCATAGCACGCATGTTCCAAACTTCCAGCTTACCTTAGATTTCTTGACTTTTAAATGGCAGTGTTTTTTTCCAACCCACATTTTAAAATTAATTTTCAAGAAAGCCAAAGAAAAGCCTGGCCTTTGCCACCTCTCTTGCCCTTTCTGTCATCTACATGAATACAACATAACTGTGCTGGTGGAGTTTTCCTTCGTTCCCCTTCTACTCATTTCGAACCTGTGTACTCCGAATGCTGTATACGTGGTCATCTGGGAAGTTTGGGTCGCTTTTATGGAATGGACTGTAAGATATTTCTGCTTTATTTGGAAAACTTTTATATTTACATTTAAATTAGCCTTTTAGTATGGTTTCTAAATAAGCTTCCTATCAAGGTAGCATAAAAAAGAAAATATGCAAAAGAAAAAAGATTAAGAACTAAGGTATTACCCTTGTTAGAAAACTTGATATTAATAAGACTTAAGGCATTTCCTTCCTTATGATTTAATGCAGAATAATTTGCAAAGACAAGGCATTTACTTGGATTTCTTTTACATTTTCTCCTCCTTTTCATCCTTAAATATTGCACTTGATTCATTGTAGCTGTCTGAATACACTGCATTTCAGAATCCTTGTAATATGTTAAAATCTCATACTGTTTTGCTACATAGCACCTATAGCTTGTGTTTAAAGGCACTTGTAGATGTGGTTACCACTGATTTCCTTTAACTTTTTGGCATTTCAGACCATTTTAATAACAGCAATTCCAAAAGTTTTAAATTGGACAATAAATGTAAATTGTGTGAAATGTATACATTTCTATAAGCATCCCCTACTTAAACTCTAAGTTTAGTATAACAAGTAAGAAAAATATTATTTTGGTGTTTTTTTAATTATAAGTCAAAGTATATTTCTGCCTTTTACATAATGTGACAGAGAAATCTGTTGGTCAAGGCAATGGCTATTTCGTGTTGCAGCTTTAACAAGAGTAATGGATTATAAGTCCTCGCTTTCTACCAAGCCTGTATTCAGTGCCAGGTGAGACGGGTTTGCTTCAGGTTGGAACGCTGCTTTGATGTCCAGTCCCTGGTCCGAAAGTGCTGCATACCGACTGGCTGAGGGCCGCACTTTTTTTGGCTTGGTGGTCTGTGGCTGCTGATGCCACTGGGCTATAAAGGAAAGAGAGTCATTTAAGATTGTTAACAAACATACACTTGGAAATCCCTAGATGTTTTAAGTAAATCCAGACTATCTTTTGATAGATACCACGTAGATATTCTTTGTGAAGGGCTGAAGATATCCATAGCAGAGACAGAAAATTTAGGGCTACTTTGGCATTTTGCTCGTGTTACAGGTTTACTGTCTCTACAGGGTAGTGGGATCGTCAAGACTGAGGTAATAAAGACCAGCTACAGTTCATCTTTATTTTAAAGCAATATTGCATGTAGCCCTGAGAATCTTTTGAAATAGTTGATAAGCTTCCTAATTCTCCTCTTCCTCTTTTAAAAACATTTTTTTCTTCAGTAATTATAGTAGCTAGGAATTCTGGATAGATGTTTTGGCATTAATAAATTGAAAAGAATTGGGCAGTAGGGAAGGTTGAGGCTGCTCATTACTAAAGAACCTCTCAAAGATATCTTCAGAAAGAGGTAAAATTTGAAATCTGTTCTTAATCATTTTGTATTAAGTTTTCCTATGTCAATGGATCACATAGTGCTACTTTACTAGTTTAGAAATTCAGTAGGGACATTGAAAAATAGGACGAAATTCAAAAATATACATACACAAACACAAATTTTATTGCCAAGATGCTTAAGATACAGTAATGAGAAAAGCACTAAGCCACAAAGATACACATTCCATTATCAACAGTATACACATTCAGAGTGCACTAGGACACTATGACAGGATAGTAATACAGTAAGAAATGTTAAAAGGTAGTCACTTGCAGAACACAGTGAAAAGAAAATGTGAAAAACATTTATGCCTTTGTCTACTGTTAACTCCCAAGGATGCTTGAGTAAAGAAGCCACAACTGACTAGCCAGTGTAAGAGAATCAACATGCATATCTTGCTAAGAATTAGCAACTCTTAAGAATTAGCAACTCCTGAATGATACTTGGTATTTGTTCTCCTGGTGGAGTTTCACTATTAATGTCGAGAAACTATAAATAGAAAGAGAAAAAGAACATGAGTTTTTTGGTAAATAAAATGCTATCGTTGTTTATAAGATTAGATAAGAGTAATGTGGTTTGCTGTCGAGATGTCTACTTTTTCATAATTCAGCAAATAAATGTGATGAGGTAGCACTCACTGTAAACATCCAGCCTGGCAGTGCAGGACACAATCCCTGCTTCATTCTTGGCGGACACAGTGTACCACCCAGCGTCTTCTTTTGTAGCTCCCTGAATAAGCAGGCAGATGTAGCCATGGTTATCCTGGTGCATGCTGGAGAAAAGGTTAAAGTCATTAGGGCTCTAAATTTTTAAAACGTGGCTCTGGACATGAAACATCATTTTTAATTAGGTCATTAAAAACAGAATTGTGCAAGTAGCAGATAATAGGGTCATACTTATTCTGGAGAGGCTGCTAGCTCCATTAAAGTTAATGGGGGAGAAGAGCAGACCTCAAGAGGTTGAATAAATCTGGCCTCTTAGTTTCTAGTTGATCTGCCTTTAAATAAAACATTGAATATTCCATCACCACTGAGGCACATGAATTCATCTTTTCGTTTTGATATGAACATTTCAAAGTCAATGCTAGGTTAAGTCAGGATGTACTTCGTACATACCCATGTGGCTTCTTTCTGAACTCTTCAACCTGTATTTAGGTCAAGAGTGATTTTTGTCTTTGACAGCCTTAGCAGCCTGGCTTTTAGACACGCTGATTTATACACCCCATAAAATGTGTGTTTTTTTACATTTCCTTGGGACTGAGTAGTTTTGGATGAGGTTAAGTCATGATGTAATCTCACCTCACTCGGTCAGTGCTGTGTGTGAGCGACTCATTTTCTTTCTTCCAAAATATCTGAGGCGGTGGTACTCCCGAGACACGGCATTCCAGCCGCACTGGGTACCCATCAGCCACGCCTGTATTTTGGAGCTTCTCAATAAACACAGGAGGTTTGTGTGCTTCCTTAGCTAGGAAAACATGAGATGAATTATTTACCACTGATATACAAAAGGATATCATCTATCAGTGCCGTACAAAAGGAATTCAGAAGGCTTTAGAAATATTGCTTGAATAGTTCTTTTATGATACCCTTCCTTTTTCACTTCGGGTGGTAAGATGCTAGGTCCCTCTCCAAATTATTCTGTTACCAAGCAAAGGTTCATATGGCTTATTCCACTCATTTATTTCCTCATAATACAAGTCTGATTGGCCCACATGGTCCGCTGGCCATCTGCTGCACAGAATGCCTGTCTGACAGGCTGCAGGAGACTCTGAAGTCCTAGCTAGTAACTGTGATGGCTTCTCGACTAATTACATTACCATGTTCTCACAGTCCTCACCCACTACTGCCATCTAGTGATGCCGAGGAGGACAAATATTTCTAGGAATTTGATCTGCTTAGATACCTCACCCCAATGGGCAATGCTTGCCTTAAAGATTTTGAAGATTTAAACCCCCCGACTTAAGTATGACAACACAGGATTTAAAGGGGGGAGATATACAGAGTTAGCATCTTCATCTAAGTTTGGCAGATTTAAATAGTCACCTATAAAATAAGAATTACATCCTGTAAGTTGCAGATTCCAATTTGTATTGTTTAAAATTAATACATTTTTGCAGTACATAATGAGTACATTCATTGTCAGTATCTGGTATATGTACATAACACATTGATTCTTGGTTTTTCCTAAAAATATCCCCTTGGTTTTTCCAAAAAAATATCTTTTTTGCCATTTGCCAAAGAAATATCTTCCTATTTCCTATTGTATTCTGTGAAGGAAGCTATAAAAAATACAGCTTTATTATTACCTTATAGGAAGAAGCAATTAAAAAACTATTGTTTCAAACTGATTTTTTTAAACACTGAATATTACCATCTAATGAAAACTTTTCTTGTGTCAGTGGTGGGAAAAGTTTTAGAGAATATGGTTTGATTGTTTTCTTCTGAGCTGCCAACAATGAATTTGAGAATGCATGTCTTTCTCCACCATCTACCGCCTCATCTGCACTGACACAAATATCACAATAAAGCAGCTAGGACAAAGGATAAAAATTCTACCTGAAATTTTTGGATGCCCAGAAGACTCTCTAAGACCTTGAGTAATTAATGTAGAGGGTTATATTTTTTATTGAACTTTACATGGTTACCTGACCTAGGCTAAAGTGAGGACAGAAGGTTTTGAAAAGAACTTTTAAGTCTTATCATAGCAGCTTACCATTACAAATACAATGTATCATTTGGAGCACTGTTATGCAAGGTTCTGGTTATGCTGAACACTGTATACATTTTTACGACTGAGTTTTTATAAAAAATGCTGTGATGCATTATGGTTCCCATTTTCATATGGAGAAACTGAGATGCTGAGGTATATCTGCCAGGGGTCGTAGAGATAGTAAAACAGACATGAACTGTTGCCAGAGACCTTGCTTCCTGTTACTGTGCACTGCCATCTTCTGACAGAGTGCTGAGGCAGGCCGGGATGTCTGTGTCTCTTGGGCCCTCGAGTCTCAGCTATGAAGGACAAATATGATCGAAATGTACATTTAATAAACTCAACCTGAGATTAGAAGAATGAATGGAACCAGTCCTGGTGTGTAAGGTTATAGAATGCTTTGCACATAATTTAAAAGCATGGCTACACTAGCTCCACACCCACGTACGTGTGGAAAAATATCTTGGTGCATTCTGAGAATCATCCTCCAGGATTTCAGCCAGGGCCTCTGGGTTTGATTTTTAGTGCCACTCTATTTCTTGAAAAAGTTCAGTGGCTCACATTGCATTTGGAAGACCACAAGGAGCCAACAGATTGTTATGAACCTAATGCTCAGCTTATTAAATGAGACCTTGGGAAAGTTAGAGATATTCTTTCTTTATATCATAGGGAACTTGTCACTGAAATAATGTACAGGAAGCACTTTATAATAGAGGTATAATAAATAAACATTTTGTTATGCTCCTTTTAAAAAAGGATAATCAGATAATTAGAATAATCAGATAATCAGAATACAGATGATCAGAATTTCTTCTAATGTCTAACTCCTAAGGATGGAATAAATCTTCTTATAATAAGTATATTTTCCTTTTAGGCTTCTCAAACAGTAAGACTTCATACAACACCACTCATACAATACCACTTATAACACTTCCCTACAGTGGGATTGATTAAAAAAGCCTATCTGAATTTGAGTATGATACTGGGTATAGATGACAGTGTTGTTTAAAAATTTTGAATTTTGAAACCATTGCACATTCTGTTAAAAACTAGGTCTGTGCACGAACTTTCTGTATAAGCATATGCTGTAGTAATTAGAGGTATGCTGTTATTTTTTCCCTGTAAATACTGAGGGACATCACATCCAGGAGAATCCATATGACCTGGAAAAGCTGCTAAAATCCTTTCCCTTTTGGGAAGATTAGTCAGAGAAAGGAAAGTGGCTACACTGAAATAAGAAAAATTAATGCTTCTGATTTGCTAAGCCTTGTAATTTGTCATCATTGGCAATTTTGATGATATCATCTATTTTGTCGGCAAATGGGATTTATTTTCCATATCAGTTAAATAATGCGCAGTTTTCACACGTCATCTGACATTCACTGTGGCAGAGAGAAGGGATTCACTGAGGAGCCTACCAGCAACCACGAGCTCCAGGCTGAATGAGTTCTGTCCGGCTCGGTTGGTGGCCATACACGTGTAGATGCCAGCGTCTCGAGATGTGACTGGCTCTATGATCAGAGAGTGCACCCCATTTTCTCGGACGAGCATCTTGTGAGCACTGTCGGGGCGTATTGGCTTTCCGTCTAGTTGCCAGCTGAGATCTGGGGTTGGTAACCCACTGACCTACACCAGAAAGGAAATATATATAAAATTCCCCATTAAAATAGAGGGAAATCACCGATAGCAAGAAACCAGCATAAATTCCTCCTGTGGTAGTGCAAGAGAATTTTTAGAATCAGCTCATGTTGCTCTTTTGCTGAAAACCTTCCCATGGCTTCCTTAGCACTCACAGGTTCACTTCTGAACATATCGTACAGAACAACCAAAGGACAAGTGAAACAAGGATTTAAAATATTTCTGTCATTGCCCAACCTCACCCAGGACTATAAAAATTCCTGGGATGATGTCAGCACCAACCTCTCGGCAATTTGGAAAAAAAAAATGTCCAACCATAATAACAGTAACAAACACTCAGCTGCATTTATGTACTGTAAAGCTTCTCTTCAAGGAGCGGCCATTGCTATGGAGACATTAGTTAATGCATCCATCAGCACGCAGAGCTATTATTATTTTATAATCCTTGAAAGTGAATAACAAAAGCAATATAAAATTACCCAGAAAGCCATCTTGACAAATTAGCATCACAATGGAAACATCATAAAATCTTGAGAGCATGACAGTTGTGCTGTCCAGATAACAGTAAAAGCACATTTAATTGCAAATCACACGCTATGCTACGGAGGCCAGGGATGGTCGCCATCTGCCAGCTTTTTACAGTGTTCCTCTTGATTGTGAATAGGAGGAAAACGCTGTGAAGAATTTTTTTGAACCTCTTCTTCCTACAGTTTTACTAGTGAGAAATTATATACAAAGATTGTGAGACAATGAAACAATTCCTTTCAAGCACCAGCTTTGCCCAAATCAGCCTGAGAACTTACAAATTCCATGCTGTTACATGGTATTTATTCATTTATATTAACTGCAAGATGCCTCCCCCACACATAGCAAAGTGTAGAGAAGAGAAAAAAAGTACATTTAAATAATGGGTTCAGAGGAGGAAGAGAATTTGGAAACAAGCAGCATGTGAGTAGTGTGGTTTGCGAGGTGTCTGGGCTGTGTTCCCCTTCGTCTCCGCTTGCCACCCACAGCCCTCCTGTCATCAGAAGTGGTACAGAGGAAGACAGAGCAGATACTTCGGGTTATGCCCCAGGTCTCTTCCAAGTTTAGAAATAAAATGGCACTGCTTGTTCCCACTCAGCTAGGTGAGATCCTGCATGCGGAGGGCTGTCTCCTGACTGAGGCCATGGCTTCATGTAGTAGATGAGTTCTTCCCCAAAGCTGTGTACTCTCAAGCCACCCAATCCACAGTGGATCTGTCCGAGTGGGTAGCGTTACTCATCTTCAGCAAAGGAAAACGGGGGTGAACAACCAAAGAAAGCATGATCTCAGGATCTGAAGGTGATCAAAGCTGGTCACCATTCGAATACAGCTGTGCTTCTGGTACACAAATCAGGGAGAAAAGAATACACTTTCTGCTAGAGGAGCGGCAGAGTTATTTTCTCTAAGACTTAGTACCACGTGAAACACAGCGCCTGGGAATGGACTCACGGGCTGGGGAGGACACTGTGTGGGGAAAACAAGCTATTGCTTGTGGAGCTTATCAAGATCTTTTTGTTTCTCAAAGATTAAATAAACGGGGAACGTTTTCCTCTGAAGCGGAAGCACCCTGTCTGTTCATGTGGCAAGATGTTCACATTTTCTTTATCCAGGTCAGATCATCATAGTGAAATCAAGGAGAGACTACTTTTATTCCTAGTACTCTTCTAAAGGCAGAGCGTTGAAGAGCATTTACATCTCTGTGCACTGAAATAAAGTATTATGATTTCCATCTTAAGTATGGTCAAAAATAGATGTAATAGAATGGCCAATCTCTTTATATCTATCATTTAGATCTACTATCCTAGTTTTTTATTGTAAATGTTTACTTTATTTTTGGATGGTACTGGGGGTTGAACCCAGGGCATCGTGCATGCTGGACAAGCACTCCACAGCCTGAGTTGAAGCCACAGCCCCATAATTTTTTATTTTAAAATAAATCCATGACTTTCTATAATTTTACTATGTAGATCAAAACATATTTTCTTACATAATCACAATTCCATTTTTATATGTGAAATTAATAACAATCTCAATCTCTCAAATAATCTAAAGTAAAAATGTTCTCGTTATAAATGGTCTTTATGAATGGTCCTTAAATGTTTAAAATTGTTTTTTAATTATTTTAAGTTACTGATGTTAAATTATATGTTTTTTGCCGGCCAGGGATTTAGCTCAGTGGTTCGGTGGCCTGCCTTGCAAGCAGTACCGGGGATTGAACTCAGGTCCTTGCGCTTGCAAGGCAGGCCACCGAACCGCTGAGCTAAATCCCCGGCCCTATATGTTTTGAAATATGTGTATATTGTACAAAGGTTACATTGAGCTAATTAACATGTATTACCTCACATGCTTTTTTGTGGTAAGAATGCAAATCTCTCAGCTTTCAGATATAGTTATTAACTACACTCATGTTATACAAGAAATCTCTTGAACTTCTTCCTCCTGTTTAACTGAACTTTCACATTCTTTGATGAACATCTCCCCATTTCCCTTCCCTTCAGCCCTCAGTAGCTACCATTCTGTCTGACTTTATGAGTTTAACTTTCTAAAGTAAGACCAGGGTGATTTCATTTACCATAATGTCCTCCAGTGCCATCCATGTTGTCACAAATGACTGGACAGCTTTCTAAAGGCAAAACAGTACCAATAAAATTAATTTTAAAAATATTATTCTACTGTACATGTATTTCCTTTATCCACTCATATGCTGATGGACACCTACATTATTTGAATAATGCTGCCGGGAACAAGGAGTGTAGATATCTCATGACACACTGATTTCAGTGCCTTTGGATTAATTCCCAGGGGATGCTAGACTGTACATGATAATTCTCATAAATGAATATTTAATTAGAGGCTAATAAAGAAAGTAAATACCTCACTGAAACTCAAGCTGTTATTTATATTGTAAATTGAACTCTGCTTGAAAATAAAATATTTAAAGAATACTTTCTATATGTTCCTACAACCCCAGATTTACTTTCTGAAAAAGCAAATGCCTACATCCTCTCAGGTGCTCATGTGAATTTGTCTTCTGCAATCCCAGGAAGAACCAGCAGAGGGAGCCCAAATTATTTTTTTTTAAAACTATCCGTATTTTAAGAGCTATACTTTTAAGATCAGTAATAGACCAAAAAACAAAGAACACAGAAAAACAAGCAAGGAAACCTTTTAGAGCAACAGTTAATAAACATTTTTATCTCAAATTCCTTTGAGAAACTTAACATACACAAAATTTTGTATATACTGTCCACATGCCTAATAAAGTCTGCATTGAAGCCCTAGAGTAAAACAGGGAAAAGAGATATCACTTATGGGTATAATACTTGTATGTAAAAGAATGAAGATCACCTACTGACTAGGACATATGGCAGATCCATCACATTTACTCAGTAAGCTGAAACATTTTTTGAATGACTTTTTAGAGTATGAATATGGAGGGTTTGGAATAAGGGAACATATTTAATAGTAAAAAAACAATGAAAAACAGTATGTAAATACTCAGTATTTCACTCTTTTTCTCTGTTGAGCTGGAATCATCTTCTACTGTACATATAATTTCCCTAAAAGTTATACAGAGAAAAGGTATGAAGGGAGAGGTGAGGCAGTAATTTTGCAGGCAGTAGTAACTCTTACTTTGCAGTCCATTCTGCAGAGTTTCCCTTCTTGCACAGTCAGGTCCCCAGGAGCCTGCAAGAAGTGAGGTCTGAAGAACCGCTCTTGAATCGGTTCATTTTCATCTGCACTGTCCCTTGACCGAGAGCGAGGCCTTGAAACAAGACATGATAGATAGGTGAAAATACAGACAGGCAGTAGTCATCTCCAGGCTTTTAGTCAAGGGGGTACTAATACGATCTCCCTATCTGATACCTGCCCTTGAGATTTACATACAAAAAATCACAAAAGCAAAACCTTGTTTAATTTCAAAGTGTATGATAAATATACAGTCTGCTAAGTGCAAGCCAATATAAATCACAGAGGGAAAAATGGAACAGGGAGGTTTACTATATAGAAGTATAGTTTTTTCCTAAATATTTTAAAGCCTTATTTTAGAAGTAGAATCAGCTCATTTGTTTATTACTGATTCTTTTTCAACAGAAATTACTATTAACTTTCCATTGTGATTTTAATTTTGTAGGGAGTTAGAAGTTTTTATTTTATATAAGTGTAATATATTTTGAGTCAGAATTCCTTTTCATAATAAGAAAACAAATTACATTTTTAGGCAAGTTTCTTTTTGCATTAGTTATCCACATGCTTAAAGGCATTGTGTTTTGCTTTAAAATAAGTTTGTACAAATCTCTCAGATTTGTGCATTTCTTTTACTTTTAAGCTTGTTGACTGAGGAATCCAATTCAGTGTAACAGCAGGGAAGACTTAAGAAATGAGCAAAATGTTAAATATAAATTGTGTCAGTAATCACTAGAAGACAAATTTAAAGATGCTTGACTAGAACAAATGGAACAAATAAAAGACTGGTATATTTAATACCAATGTTTTGATATAGTTTACTTTTCTCCAAATGCAGGTCTGGTTTATGACAAAAATGTGTTGTAGTACTCACTGACAGGGAAAAGCTTAAATGTAGTGAAGACCATAAGAAAAGTAGAAGAGAATAATGCAAGACAATGAAGCTAATCCTAAATATGTTGTGTTTACAGCCATGGGTAGTGGGCTAGGATCTTGTGAACAGATATTGCCACAATAAGTTTAGTATTAAATCTGCACACACTGAGGTGCCTGTCATCCAAGGGCCTCTTCAGATCTAGTCACAGGAGGTCCTTCAGACACAGTTTGTTTAATGCTTCCTCGGTTTTTCTGTTTATCCTCTATGAGCCTGTGTTTCTCTACAATAAAGGTAATGTGCGCCTGTGTCCCACAGGTAACAATCAGGACTATTTCTGGCAGCTCTGTCTGTAAAATACCTAAGTAGGAGCCCAGGTTGACAGACTGGTTTCATATCTTTTTTTCTTAAAAGCGCAAATATGTTACTAAGAAATAACACTCCCTCGCTCCCTGCCTGCCGTTATTCTGTTGTCACTCTTTCATAGACTTATGGCCACTAGGAATGGAACGTACACACCAGTTAGCAGATACTTGTTTGAGCATTTAAAATGGGACAGCTCTTACCTACAAGAGACACTGTGTTGTAATGGTCTTCTGTTCTGAACTATGTGACTTGAAAGTATACATTAACACTCTAGCTGATTTTAGGAAATCGAGTGACAATAGTTCTAATGGTCTTTTGGTTAGAGAAGTGTGATTCTGAATATTTGTGTATTCTTTACTAGTGTTTTCATGTTCACATGCCATCTAAAGGTGCCGTCTTTCTTTCCCATGAAGTTTATTGGTGTATTTAAGGTAAACAGCACAGGCACACTCATCATTGGGATCTTGTACCTTTACATGCTGTGTCTCGGTTCTTATTTTCCCCGCACCCCTGCCCTCCCTTCATCCCCTCCACCCTTCCCTATTTACCAAGACTGTTTCCATTTTTCCCTTTTTGCATGTATTTTCTTTTCCCTTCTTTCCTTTCCCCTACCCTCTTCCCTTTCTCTTTAAGACATTTTCTTCCTATTTCACATTATCAACCAATAAAGGTGCCAAGTCTTGATTTCTTCATGTATAAAATGTGTTCCACTTAACAACCTAATGGTAATATATCTTAATGGGCTCAGCACATATTAGCAAATGCCTGTTCCCTTGCATTTTCTAAATTGCAAAGGCGAGAGTAAAGAACACACACTTTAATGTTGGTCTTTATACCGTCTTCTGCTTGTGTTTATATTAATGATGGTACTATATTCTAGTAGTAGTGAGTTGATAGTGATAAATAAATAGTAACTTATGGGAGGAACATCTGAAATACCTTCTGACATGCGGATGGCCTGAGGGAGAGCGTGGACTGCGACCTCTTTGGTTGACAGCCTGTACCATTAGCCGTCCAGTACAGCTGGCACGGCCCTGTCAGAGACATTAGAAAAAGAAATTATTTGCCGTGCAGAAGTGATAAGCATTCAGCACCATCATGTCTGTTGTCCTACTCTGTAAGACTTTATTTCATAACAAATCAGTGTGCTATTAGTAATAAAATTTACCCCTCTCAAAGACGATCCCTGAGTTAATTTTCTCAGTAAAATTGTTATTTACTTAAAGAAGTCAGGAGAAAAAAAAAATCTATCTCTGAATGTTAAATAAGCTGTCCTGTTTTATTTAGGATGGGACTTAAGATGATGCCTCTCAATGAATTAATTGCAGTCTGCTGAGGCCTCCTACAATAGGAGGTTGATTTTTAAAATATAGCAGGAGGACAACTCTCATGATGATTCCATTTCCAAAGCCAACTATTAGGCATTATTAGTTTGATTAATATTATGTTACTGGCTAAATATATCACTAACCAGAACATAATCAGGAGCATTTCTTCAATTCTGAAATCAAAGCTAGGTGATGTTAATTTTCTGTTTTAGTAATATACTTATTAAATGTTAGTGATATCCTTTCCCCAAGGTATAGATGCGTGACCAAAGTATCATTATGTAAGAAGTGGATACGTGGGATGACAAAAAGGACATCACAACTGAATGACACCATGTTCACATGAAATGAACATACGTGAAATTTAAAAACCAGAAGCAGTTAAATACTAAAACACGTGGTCATGTGGCAAGGGTCTATCGAGCTGTGAAGTTACTGTTAAATTGGCCCATTCATTGTTTGCCAGCATGGACAGACAAACTTGGACACCCACTCTTGCCCTGGCTTTTTGCTTCAGCTCCTTCTTTTCATTCATTCTTTCTTTCTTTCTTTATTTATTGGCACCAGGGATTGAACTCAGGACCTTGTGCTTGCGAGGCAGGTGGCAGAACCACTGAGCTAAATGCCCAGCTCTTTCTAATTCTTTTTATTCACTATTACTAGTGGAGTAGCAAAACAGATTTTCTCCTCTATTTTTCATCATGGTTTCTAAGAGGATGAGAAGACGTACTTCGAAATTCTACTGCTGGCCCAAAAGTAACATAAAAAGAGGAAAAAGGAGCATATATATCAATAATGATTAGACTTTATGAAATCAGGATTGATGACCAGCGCTTGTATGCACTTAATTCAAAATAGAACTCTATGATTGGATTCTGTTTTTATTGCAGGTGACCAAGGTAACAGAAGTAGGGGTGAGAACACACACTACTTTGGAGTATGTTTTGAAAAACTGTTTCCCTGCTGAGAGTTGGCTGAGGTGGTAGGAGGTGAGGACAGGTTGAGGGAACGTGTGCACATCATACCAAAACACCTCATAGCAGGACTTAATACAGGGCAGGAATTCAGTCAGGGGCACTTTCCAGGTCTCCCAAAGCTTGGACTTCTTTATGGCTCCACTCAGACAGAAAAGGGGATTTTACAGGAAAGTTATATACACAGCAGAGAAGAATTGGGAGTTACCAGATAGAGGTGGTACCAAAGAAATCAATTTAAGCTTATATTGGATACCTAAAGCTGATCAGCATTAACAATATTTACTGTTGAGATCACATTTAAAAATACTAATGTCCCTGAACATTTCCAAGGAAAAATAAATACATTATGAAAGAGAATTATTTCTAAATTAGATTAATTTTATCTGAAGCTCAGGCCATATGACACAGATTCGCTCATGCCGAGCTCTTGGCAAACACTTGGAATTCCTTAAACAAAACACTCCTCATGGAAGGCACAAATGGAAAATAGATTCACCTTTTTAACTTCTGCTAAGCACAGCCATATTCCCTTGGGTTATTTATTGATGGCTGCCACTGAAGGCGCAAGATGGGAGATGCTGTACTTTAACCACCTGACTATGCTGAGATTGTATCTTGCCTTCTCTTGCTTTCTCAAGTAAAACAAAACCAAAACAAACAAAAACAGGGTATTTAGATTGGCATACTGCTATGGAGAGCTGACTCATTTTACACTGTTTTTAAGGTTTTCATTGTTACAGCTCAGAACCATACACACAAATTTATCTTTAACCTTCCCAATTTAACGAAAATCAATGTGTTTCCATTTGTTTATCTATCTACTCCTTCACCAGCCTTCTTTCACTCCTGAACATAAAGACACGAAGCATTATTATTAGTTTGATTAATATTATGTTACTGGTTAAATATATTACTAACCAGTACAGTACATAATCAGAAGCACTTAGAAAGTATTCAAACTAAAGGTTATGTAATTTTGGCTTTTTTTTTTTGACAAAAAAAATATCTAGAATTCAGTGAAGCAGTTTTGAAGATTTTAAGTCTGAACATCTTATTTAGGAAAATGATCATACAGAATTAGTACGGAGTGATTTTAATCATACTAATATGCCAGTTAACCCCAGTAATCATCACAATCAGTAGACTCTTGATATACATGATTGTTATATTAGCTTCTAACTTTCCGATTTTTATATGCTTTACTAACAAAAAAGTAATAATGTACGTCAGTGTTTAAAGTGAACTGAAGTGAGCCAGGAGATCGCTTAACACAACAGATTGGTTTTTCCATATTTAACCTAGCCGCGCTACTTTTCTTTTCTGAACAGCCCCATAGTTTAAAGCTATAGCACAAATAAAAGGTTTGAATTGTTGAAGTGATTCTATATTAAACAGCCAGCTTGTAAAGATTATTTGATGCATTGTGCAAGGCCTACGAATATAACATGAAAATAACATTTATATTTCATAGTTTATGAGTTTCACTTGGGGCACACATGTCTTTATAAAGCTTGCCATTTGTATACATAATGCAATCTGAAGAAACATCAGACTGCAGAGCAGCCATTCCAAACTCCAAGTGCAACACAAAGTAACTTAGCAACACAACAAAGCAAAGTAAAACACTTGTGTTTAGATTTAGTTGTGTCTTAAAGATAGGATTAGAGTCTAAAATAAACTGTTTTTGTTATCCTCATTTTGGCTTTATGTTTAGTGAAAGACTACAGAATCACTCATTATTTTGCTAAACTCTGTGACAACTCTGGTCTCTAATGAATTGAGCTGCACATAGTATGAGCCCATAGTCCAGTTTTATGTCTGGAGCTGTGCTTTCTATCCGGAGTAGAATCTGGATGTGATTAACAATATCTAATGTATTTCTTTTTCCCTAAAGATTAACCCAGGTGGAAAAATATCATATTCTATGAAACATTCTGGTGAACTTCAGGGTTTTCCTCTTTCCTTGGTTCTCACCCTTCTTTTGGCTACTTTCTGTAATTATTTTCCTCTGCTTAGGAAAGCGCTGCTTTCTGTGTTTTATTACTGAACTATTTTTTGCACCCCAGCCATTTTCCTCTTTCCCTTGTTCATTTCACATTATGTGGGCTACACTGCAACAGAGGAAAGGGTGGAGTTGTCTCCCTTTCAAAACCAAACACCTTTAAAATTTGAAAAAGTTTAACTGAAAGACATGAAACATATAGAATCAGTTTTTGGTCAGCTATACTTTATGCTTTTGGGGTTCATATATCTTGGGATTTAGCTTCTTAAACTTTAAATGCCTGCTTATGATCTTCTTTTAAATCATGTCTTAATTCACAAATAACAAAATACTTCCACGTATAGTAACATGTTATGAAGATGACATTATGGCCATGTTAAACATTTCTTTAATGATATTCCTACAGCCCCAAATAATTTGTGCCAAAGGTTAGGTAGAAAAACGGCCTGCCACTTGTCCTGATGTAAATGCCATTTTAAAAAATGAGTAGTAATGTTCATTCCATCGTCTAGATGATGACTCACAAACCCTACAGTGGGCATGTTTGGACATATCTGCCACTGAGGACTCCAAGGATAAGAGAGTTTTACTCTTGAAATTAAAAATAAATGAGGCAACATGTTCATAAACTTGGAACAAACAGCTACTACTAAATAGTAAATATCACAACCATTTCAGTGGTATACAGTGCTACACAAATGTCCACTTTTAAGGATTTCCTCAGCCTCTTTTCATGAGTTTCCCCTCCTTTGGTTATTTAGCTAAGAAAGGAGGCTCAGCACCACCTCTTAATTAAAATGCTGAATATAAAGACTTTCGGAGTTCTAGGCATTAGGAATTGCTGCAGCGCTGTGACCCCCGAGTTTGAATACTCTGCTCATCCCTGTAGACCCTGAACACTCTTCTTACTGCTTACTTAAACCACAGGTGAGGTGGGAGGGATGTTCTGTCAGGAGGGCTGGGCTTTGGGCTCCCTCATGTACACTGGTCTGACTCTTAGACCTTTGTGTTTTCCCTAAAGGGACTAAAGAGCGCTAACCTGGGGGCTTATTCTGCTATCTGGTAAATCAGAATTACTGGGGCCCACAGTGAGTGCAGTGACCACTTCTCTGGGGTCTTCTCTTGGCCTTGAGGGTGCTGGGAGCAGAGAGCAGGGCCAGTGTCAGCTGTGCTGTGGGTGTGGCCTGTTCTCCAGCTCACAGTTTGCTCCACCCAAGCCCACAGCTGTGCAGTTGTGGCACAGCCACATCTGCTGCCTAACTCCCTTCCCACTGGGGTGATAAAAGGGGAAAGGCAGGAGCACGAAGACCACACACCAGCAACATGTTGGGTACAAATTCCACCCCAAAGGGACTTGCTTCTGCTAACGGTACTGTGGGAGTGGAACACCTAGGAACAGAACTGGTACTCCACAGCTTGTTCCCACAGATCGTCTGTTCTGAAATGAGGTCATCAGTGTCTATAAATTAGAATAACGACAGTGACTAGCATTTACTGAAAGCATACTTTGTGCTAGATAAGCGGAGTGCTTTTTACACACACTCTTTAAATCCATATTATTTCCATTTTCTAGATGAGGAAATAGGCAGGTCACACAGGTATGAATGGCAGAACTGAAACCTCACTGCATATCTGTCTGATGTAGAGCTCATGTTCTGTCATTTCTTTTCTTTTTTAAAAAAATTTTCTTTCCATCCTCTTCCTGTGTTTACAAGGGCATCATCTTTTGGTGGGGAGGGGAGGCTCGTCCACAGAGATTTGGGTAAGAGTACATTTACTTTAAATTTATTTTTACTTTAATTGGCACATTGTAACTGAATATGAGTACAATGTGATACCACACATGCAGATACAGACACACACATGGACCAATCCAAGGGAGATCTTTAATAGGTCTGCTTTATCTAGTGACACCATGATAGTTTGTCAGAAAGGTTTAAGTGGTCAGACAGTACTGACCCTTGAGCCTGGCCTGCTGTCTTAAACTTTACTTTGTACCACTGGCTATGAACACTGAGTTCTTCCTTCTTTAGAATTTTCCCATATGTACAAATGCATTAGTATGAGTTGAAGAAGAAAAGAAGCAGAATCATAATTGCAGTTTTACATACATTTTCTTTTGTTCTGCAAAGTGGTTTATTCCAATAACAATTTAAAACATGCTAGGAAAAAATGCCTTGAAATTAACAGCAGGAATCCAGTTCTGGCAAATACTTAAGGAACATAGACAATTCTATCCTCATAATAAATCTCAGCCTTGTCAGGGGAAAAGAATAAAAGACTCAACAAAAATTACTGGATTTGTTGCATTCTCCACTTTTTTTTTGTGGTACTGGGCATCAAACTCAAGGCTTTGTACGTGCTAGTCAAGTGCTCTACCACTGAGCTACACCCCTGGCCCTTTTTGTTTTTCATTTGGAGACAGGGTCTCACTAAGTTGCTCAGGCTGGGCTGAGACTCAGTCTTCCTGCCTTAGATTTGTGCTTTAGCCCAGCATTTTTTATTCGCATGCAGGAAACTGAAAATTGCAATTTCTTAATATTTAAAGAAACATGTTGAAAATTAGTAAATAAAGCAATTACTTTTTCTCTCCATCAGTTACATCAAATATAGACATAAGCATAAAATGCAACTTTATAATAGAGATAGTTTTGACTAATTTCTTAGCAATCTTCATGTATTTATTGATTACAAAATTATAACTTCAAGAAGCTGCATAAATATGGAAATGTTTTACTGATAGTAAAGGGTGCACTGTGCCCTTGTCATGATGTGGTTACCTGAATACTTTGATTTTCATTCTGTTAAAATTATTTCAGAAAAATGTTTATTTGACAATCGAATATTAAAATAAGATGAATCTTGTACAAACTTGTAAAAGCGTATACATTTTGTTACAGTTATATAATTTTAACAGTTTTTTATTATATCATTTTCTAATACTACTTTCTGTGAAAGAAATAATGAAATATGGAATAGTATAAACAGGTCCAGAGGTTTTAAAAAGATGACTTCTGGACAATCTTCATTAGTTATAGAATTGTCAACCGCAGCTTTTTTAAAAAAAGAAGTATATGACTTAGATAGCTTCTGCAGACTTAGTAAAATTACCCAAGTTACACACTGAGCTCTTAAGGTACGAAAACACTTCTCAGTCACTGTTGTATACCCTGAACCCAGCACAGTGCCTAAAACATATGAGAGACAAAATGAAAAAGAATGTGCAAGTCTCCACTGGACCATCATACATCGCAGCCACCTTTCAAAGTCTGTGAAGGCAGTTACTTTTTGATCCTAAATCTGAGGACAAATACAAGACAAAACATTTTGAACCAGGCATAATAATGCATGCCCATAGCCACAGCTTTTCTGGGGGCTGCAGCAGGAGCATCACTGAAGCCCAGGAGTTCAAGTCTAGCCTGGGCCACGTTGTGGGACTCCATCACAAACAAAGCACCCCAAATTGTGTTTGATACAGACGAATGCTGTGTATTGACTGACACTATCAAAGAATTCTGTTACCTTAATTCTTGGCCAATAATTCCAAAAATGTTTGTATGCATTTCTTAAATACCTAATTTTGTTTTTAGTACAACCTATACATGCCACTCTGTATCCTTTCCACTTTACTTTCTTCACAGAATGTAATCCTACCTAGAATTACGTGATTTATTACTTGTTCGCTGGCTTACTGTTCACTTCAGGACTGTCCTGTCCAACCCCACCCCTCCATCAGAAACACACACAGAGGAGGCCCTAAATATCTGCGGGAGGAATGCACATCTGCACAGAAGTCATTCCCACAGAAGAATGCCTGATGGCGTAAATAAATGTTCATGAAACAAGTGGGAAAAGTAATAAATAAAAAATTTAGGTTTTTTTTCGGGGGGTACCGGGGATCGAACTTGGATCCTTGCGCTTGCAAGGCAGGCCACCGAACCCCTGAGCTAAATACCCGGCCTTATAAATAAAAAATTTAAAAGGATAGATTTTTTCCTATCCCCTGAAGACAAAAGATGGATAAAGAGTTTGGAAAAGTAGCTTCATAACTGAAAGAAGTGCAACTTCACCTTTTAATTAAATCACTCCTCTGTGTAATCGAATGCCTGTAGGCGCTGCACACAGAAGAGCCCAGCCCTCCACCCTTCTTCACCTGAGGACTGGCAGCCATGATTGTGAAATTCCCGTCATCATCTAGGGTGGAGGCTGCAGTGTGGAGAGAGCAGGTCCCATCAAGATCTCTGTGCATGGTGTAGTGATCACTCTTTGGAGAGATCTGCTTCCCATCTTTAAACCAGTAGATCTGTAGAAAGAAGTGAAGATGAACGATTAAGAGTATACTTTTACTCTAGATGTAGGGTGAGTAATACTAGTGTGGTCTACTGAGCTGATCTGCGTTTTCACGTTAGAATGTTAAATCAAACATCTGAATAGGAAACTGATTTGAGGCAAAAAAAGCAGCAAATGAGACCCTTATTTTAGTTTTAAGAAGGTTTATATAATTTTTTGTTTAAAAAACATGTATGTGAAATATATATATATCTTTTTGTTTTTAAAATATGGCATTTACATTCATTTATTTATATGAGGGGCTATGTAGGGAATTTTGGCAGGGAAGTAGCATTTGAAACATTTTCTTCTTTCTTTTTTCAAATATAGTGGTTATTAAAATGTGTTACTTTTAAGGCAAAGGTAAAAAAGTTGCTTTAGAGAACAAAAACAAACCCCAAACTCCAATCATTTTACTGAATTGTGTTAGATGAGTTAAGGAAAAAAACGTGGCTGGGAGGGAGGCAACAATTAAAGGTTGATGATGGTTGGAACTCTGTTGCTTTAATTCTGGGCCAAGAAGCATGTGATCAAAGGTTAAAAGCTTGTCAGCTTTCCCATTATATTAAACAGTAGTACTGAAAAGCAAAATATTGTTTAGAAAGGATAATGAAAACCTCTGATTCTACGAAGGATTAGGCCAGTGCTGGTGAACCCTTTAGAGCTTTCAGTGGTACAAATAGCCCATTGTGGCCTTCCTGCCATACGTTCACCACCACCAGATTAGGCTGACTTGGATGGGATTTATGTCCTGTCTTTAAAAGCAGGACCAGGATAACTGTTTTCTAGATCAGGAAAGCAATAAATGGGATTACAGTTTTCCCCAGCTTAACTGAAAAGAATAAAAAAAGAAGTTGAAACCCCAAGTTAACATTATTGTATGATATTGAGCCAAAAGTGGAAAAAGTAATAGGAAATTTGGTTCTGGGTAATTAAAATCCTTAGCTTCCTTTCAGAAGTGTACAAAATGTCTCCACATGGGCAGTTTCACAGTTTGAGGCATATCAGACTTATACAGAATAGAAGGGAGTAAATGCTACTATACATTAGTTCACAACAGAAAACTAACCAACAATATGGAAAATCAATGAGAAGAGTCAGTAGTATAAGAAAAAGAAAACAGGCCAAGCATTGTACATAGTGAACAATCGTAAGGAGATTATACAGTACCTATTTCAAATGATTAAATTATTAAAGGAATAGGAGCTCTAACGACAGGACAGCACAAAAACACAAATTTGAAAAATAAGTATATAATATGAGAATATACTTACTGAAATTATAAGATTAAGAGTGACGTGAAAAGAGCTGAAATGAGTGCAGTAAAACGGAAGACGGGAAGGGGATACTGGAACACTTGACACATCCAAGTTCTAACTCCTATCGTTTTCTTAACGTTGTTTTGTTCTCAGAATCAGGTTAATGTTAAGAACTAAATTCTGACCACTGAGTCAGAGAAAAACAGATCAAAGAAAATAGGCTAAAATTTTTAAACTCATACCCACTGTCTAATAAAATGATACTTTTAAAATAAATTTTATTAAAAATTAAACTTCTTTACCATATTCTTTGCATAATTTGAATATGTTTGCAAATATAGGAAGCCTTGTTTTTTAGACTGAAGATTGAAATTTTTATTAGCACCATCTTAGTATGGGACGAAGCACTGAGTTCATGTCCAAGTCTGGTCCTTACCGACTGGACTCTCTGACCACAGGAAAGTCAATCCCACAGAACTCTCTTTAGTTGTGTGCAATTTGAGAGTAAGAATGAGGAATAAGTAAGGGAGATGTGTGAAGAGCTCCTTGTTAATTATTAACTTGTTCCTGTTCTACTATATCCTTTAAACCTGAACTCCAGGTTCCCTACCTTCCACCTCTTTTTGTTTTCTTTCTTTCTCCTTCCATTCCTCCCCTGGGAATTGAACGTAGGGCCTAGGACCTTGAGCATGCAAAATGGGTGCTTTACCACTGAGCTATCCCCCAGCCTTGATTTGGGCTTCTAATGTTTCCTTGAGCTGGCCCTGAACCTAACAGCACTTTAAAATTTTTACATTCTTAATACTAAGAAAGCTAGTCCATATCTCTTCTTTCTACCATATGTACTATCTTTCAGAACTTAACTCTTCCTTAAGCAATGTGATTCTTGCTTTTGTGAGTATGTGCCTGAAATCCATTTCCCAGAAATTTGGTCCCCAATCTAGACAGATAACAAGTGAGACCTCTGGGAGGTGCCTGGGTCATGAGGGCTGTCCCTCGTTAGTGGATTATACTACTCATGGATATTAATGGCCACTGGGTTAAGAGTAACTTTTGTATGAAAGTGAGCTTTCTCTAGCACACTTGCTGTGTCTTGCCATGTGGTACACTTTTTCTTTCTGTCATTAGTGGAAGGGCACCAGACCCTTGCTTATACCATGCTCATGGGCTTCCCAGCCTCCAAAACCATGAGCCAAACAAACGTCTTTCCTTATAAATTACCTAGGCTCAGGTGTTTTATTACAGCAATGGAAAATGGACAAAAGAACTCTTAAAACATCATGTTTTTAGCATACCTTAGGCTTTGGATTCCCGACCACTCTACACGTGAAAGTTACAGGCATTCCCTCAAAGATCTTATAATGTTTCAGTTTCATCTCAAAGAAGGGTGCCACGCCACCTTCCACAGGCACATCTCCGTAATGAACGTCATCGCCTGACTCCTCCACGGGAGACCTCTCTAGCCTGTACTCTATTTCACTTATGAGTCTCTGTTCACAGCTGGAGACTTTGTATTCCTGTGTCAGACAAAGAAAGTTCAAGTTAGCAGCCTCACTTCCTTGTAGTACAATGTGTTCGTGAGTCTTATTCCTCTGTCCAATAAGGCACTAGAGAGACAGTGGTATTTTTACCATAGAGCTTAAGAACATAGTCTGAGCCCAATTCAATTCCACAGAAAACAAAAAACATCTGGAAATGAGTATGTATGATATTTCAAGTTGTCTTCAAGTCCTATCATCCCCCCAAAACCAAAAAAGATGAGATTTTCCCCCTTTTCTCTCTTGGGAGGGAGCTAAAGGGGCAAAGGAAAGAGAAGCAAAGGCAGTGTATTCCTAATCCGTTCATAAAAATACAACCCAAAGGAACACTGATTTCTTTCTGTAGGGTAAACAACGGTGCAGGGTGCTGCACCTCTCCAGAAGGCTAAAGTTCATGTGGCAGGCAGCTGCAGCGTTACAGAGAATGGTACCAAATGAATAACGGAAGATATGGCACCTTTTTTTTTTTTACCCATAACAACCCTATGTCTCCTAGAGGCTCTTCCTTAGCTCTGCACCTGTCAGGGATCCATCTCTTTAAAAGCAAACAGGACTGAGAGTCTCGTCAAAAGTTGGATTAAAAATATAAAAGCAAAACCAAGACTCCATTGAGGCCGGGGACTTAGCTCAGTGTTCTGCTGCCTGACTCCTAAGCACAAGGTCCCGAGTTTGATTCCGGCAACAGAAACAAAAACAAAATACAGGACTCCATCAACATTCTGCAGTGTTTAAGGGGGATCCTACAAAGTGCAGTGAACATGGGCAGCCTGTTATAAAATGTTGTCTACTTAATGTTAAATAGGAGATAATTCCAGCTAGTTTTCTCTTAAGTTGTATTTTACAAAACAATATGTTTGAATGGAGAAATACAATGGTATGAGTAAAACTGTGAGCAATGCAGTCCAAGGTTGTTTTGTTTTAATTACTATCAAATTAATCTCTAAGCATTAGCACTGAATTTAGACAACTTAGTGAGAACCTGTCTCAGAATTAAAAAAATAAAAAGGGCTGGGGATAAAGCTCGGTGTGAAGTCCCCACAAGAAAATTCAAGCTCAGAGTATCCACTAAAGTCAGAACTAAATTGAACTCTCTAAATGACAAAAATCTACAGTAATTTTGCTCAACTGATACTAAATAAAAATGGACAGTGATTACAGCATTTATCATATATGGAAGTACAGACAGGCACACATAAGAATGAGCAGGAAAACACCAAAAAGCAGATGCGGTGAAAGACCAGAAAGAGAAGAGAGGCGAAAAGCATAACCTTTTGGCCATCCAGGGGACTCCCTACAGAAGCCTGAGAAGACGCGACGTCCTGTAGGGAGGGAAAGAGAAGTGAGGAGCAGGAAGAGGAATAATAAGATGTAGCAAGACTTGTAGTTGTCTTTAAATGAAAATTTTGTGGTCGTTATAGTTAACAGAGAAACCTTCAGATTTTGAAGGAAGACTCATTGCTTAATACATACGAAAAGAATATACTTGAGCCTTTATAGCTGTTTTAAGAGTTTTTTTTTTTTAAGCTTTCAAATACATCTGGAAACTCCAGAAGCAGCAAGGGATTAGAAGGCAGCATACAACAGCTCTGTAAAATGATTTTTTTTTTAAGCAGGGGAATAAAAATATCATTTTAGGTCTTTTGATGATTAGTGTTTCTAACTGCACATGTGAAGGAAGATAAAAACAAGCAATCTTTCCTCTAAATGGCATTTTACTTTGGCTAGATATTAAAAATATAATAGGAACTATTTACCAGTTTATTTCAAACAATGACAATGAAAATACCTTTTTCCATACAAAATTATCTTGCAACAAAGCAAGAAAAATAGAAAGCTTGTTGAAAGGAAAATAAACTGGTCAATAAGATTAGGGAATTTAGTTCAGTGGTGCCGCCACCTGCCTCCAAGGTCCTGAGTTCGATCCCCAGTACTGCCCTCCCCCAAAGAAGATAAAACAACGGTTATTACTGATGGAAATAATTCTGTTCATCACTACTACAGAGCCTTGTACATAGCGTATGTTCAATAAATGTTAGCTATGAGGGTGACTGATGGCTTTCCTGTGACTAGCCCTTTACTTTTCACAAACCCAATCCCAAGAATAGTGTCCAAGACGAGTAAGGGAAAAGGGGCATAATGATAGTTATTTTTCTAAGAAGTCCAGAGCAACACAGTACCTGATTAGTTATTTCTTCCTCTGGCTCCTGCATATTAAAGACAGTCGCACTGTCAGCACCTAGTAGCCGGCGAGCCATTCTTTCTTCATATGTTAACCTCTAAATACAGGAAGTCACAAAAACATAATTAGAAGAAAAGCACAATTATATATGGCCTTGTGAAAAGAGTGAGAGAATGAGTTTTGATATTTTCTGTAACTACTCCCCTATCGCTTCAGATAGCTGTGTGTAAAAGGAGCCTGTTCCTTTCCCTTGCTTCTACTACCGTTCTGCTTTCCCACTTCCCTCCTGGTCCTCTTGGCCTCCCCAGTATTGGGAGAAGAGATAACTAATCCTGGGGACCACCCACTGATACAGCATAAATTTAAAGTGAAAGGCAAGCAGCAAGGTAGAGACCACACGAAGATGTGTCATTTTTATCCTTAATGAAAATGGGGCAGGTATTCAGACAGCAAAATATGGTAAAAGAAATGCTATTTTCAAAACCACTCATAAGCTTCAGAACAGCAAAGTGAACTCCAAGACCAACTGACACAAAAACCAGAAAACCACGCAAAAGGAGAACACATCGATCAGTAAGAAGATAAAGCATGCACTATTGACAGAATTAATTCTACCAGAGTTCAATCCCCAGTACAAAAAAAAAAAAAAATTACAGATCTGGAAACAACTCTCACAGAACACCTGCCTAAACAGGGGTTGAATTAAAAATAGGGAAGAATTAGTGATGCAGAATCTAAAAACAAGTGCAAAAGTTATTTGAGATATAACTTCCAAACTTTTGAATATAGATGCAAATTCTATTTGCAATTTGCTAATCAGGAAAATATGTTGGGTAAATTTAGTTTCCAGTAATTGCTGGTTCTAGTCCCAGCTGAAACCGGGAAGTGAAACAAATCAAGTGCCAAATAGGCCTAAAGTTCAAATTATTTCATTTAATAAAGAAAGAACAAGGGACAAGAAGAGGTAGACCCGAGTATGGAGCAGTGCATGGCATGATTTAATCTAGGATACTAATGTGTAAATTAATTTCCTCAAATCTGTTTTTAAAAATGAGTGAATTCAGGGTCAGGGATATAGCTTAGTGGTGTCACACTTGCCTCACAAGTGCAAGGTCCTGAGTTCAATCCCGGTACAAAAAAAAAACACAGCAAATTCAGTTTTTAAAGAGCATTTTAAATACTTGCTCTCTTAGAAAGTCTTCCCGCCGGGCGTGGTGGTGCACGCCTGTAATCCTGGCACTCAGGAGGCTGAGGCAGGAGGATCACTGTGAGTTCGAGACCAGCCTGGGCTACATAGTGAGCTCCAGGTCAGTCTCAACTATTTAGTGAGGCCCTATTGCAAAAAAACCAACCGGGGGGGGGGAGGAGAAAAAGTCTTCCCGATGTTTTCATGGAGGGGATGTCTGGGATGACTTCCACCCTCTTCATATAGGCAGAAATATCGATTTGTATCTGTCCCTTCCCAGAATGCACCTGCTACCATTACAAGCCAGATTTACTTCATGATTTCTTGTTTTGGGAAACAGAACTTATTTTTTACTGAATTTTAATCTTTACTTACAAATGTGTTTCTAAATCAGTATGCCATGTGAAAATACAAGCTCTTGTCTACAGAACCCAAAAGTAAGTAACAGATTAATAATGCAAATTAGGAAAAAGTTGTTTGAAAGCCCATTCGTAAAAAGAGAAATTTTACTTTTCTTGTCCGTTCAAGCTCTTGAATGTGGAAATCTATGAAACTTACTGAGAACGTCATGCTCGGCTAAACGAATGCATAGAAATATAAGTGTAATATTAAGTGATATAGTTTAATAGAGACTTACAGAAGTCTTTTAATGAGAGAATCGTAGTCTAGAAGGAAAATTTTGAGTAAACAACCAAAAATAAGGTGGGAAAAAAAAGCTGGAGAGATGCCTCCACCTGGCTTGAGAAAGTTCCCTGAAGTATTTGTTTTCATCTTTCGAAGACTCTAGTTGACAGAGCCAGGGAAAACTTCCAGAGAGTGTACATTTACACATGCAATCACTTATTTCAGGGAGAAAACATTTTCCTTTTGTGAAGATCTTCAACACCCAGTAAAATGAAGAACACAAAACTCACTGAGATTTTAATCTTTCTAAATGAGATTTAGATGCCCAGTAATTAAAATTAGCTCGGCATCCCACCTCTGTTCTTTACCCTTCCAATCACGCATGGTCTGTTTTCACATTTTTATTTATCAATGCTTGATAATTAAAACTCCCAGAAGATATAATTGGCACAGAAATCTTTCTGTTCTGAAAAAAAGTAACTGAAGGTCAATTTTTATATGAAGAATCCTTACATATTAAAACAAAAGACAAAAAGGGAAGGAATGGAATGCCTTTCTGCTACTTAAGACCCAAGCAGATTTTTCTGGCAATGTTCCATGAAAGCTATAAAAGACTCTTTTCCTTTGCCTGGTAAATGTTACCTGCTAGTCTTGCTTTTCCCATTCCCTTAGAATACACTGATGTGCTAAGAACCAGCCAAAAACAAATACAAAACACTGATGAGGAAACCTGTAAGTTCAATGGAGGAAAGATCACATATATTTAGTCTACCAGATTTGTGTATGTACTCTACAATTCTGCAGCTTTAAAGCATGAACTTTTCAAGTTTACTTGACCAACTGTAAGAGTGTAGAATAGGCACTACCTCTGCAGATTACTGAGCCAGTACCTAGTCATCACCTGGTAGGACAGGACTGAACTTCAGCAATGGTTTCTCTGGCAGAAGTATTTCTGGGTAGAAGGAGTGTATGCCATGGAATCCAAGTTCTCCTTTGGGTACTGTATTTCAATTCATTGCTTCTGGACACAGAAGATCCCAGGGTACCCTTTCTCCCTCCTTCCCCACCCATACACCCTATGTTTCTTTTCTTCGTACTACAGTCATTACTCATTGTACGCTCAGTCCTAAAACCTGTTCTTCTTCCTTTATCCCAACTCACTAAAAGATAAGTCGAGATTCTGGGCTAATGAAATAATTTGATGGACAAATCTCAGGATCTAAGTCTTAGTGAACTAAGGTGAGAGATCTTTGATGAGGGAAGCTGGCATTCCCAGTCCACACCCCTAATGTGCCTCAGTACCGGCTGGCCATTGTTCAGGAGGTCCTCCTTGAAGCGAAGTTTTCGTTCCAAGTCTTGAATAACAGCATCCTTTGTGCCTTGGATCTCCTCATCAGAGGCTATTCTAGCAGTTCTGCTGGCCTTCTTTGGGAATCCCCTGCAGGACAAAAGAGCATGAGGTAGTCCTGTCAGTGATTCAGGCATATAAATCCAAGTCAAACATCTAAGACCAACAAAGAGATCGTACAATGCATCAACATGTCATTCCCACTCTTTTCTGTTTTTTCTTTTTAATTCTGTATCTATTACAACGAATGGAAAGAAGCATCAAATCTGGTTTTAGCAATCCCCAAAACATTAATTGGAACCAGTTTTCAGAGAAGGTTCAAATGGCTGGGGGTGTATATTATAGTCCTAGGGAAACAGCAATGTAAAGTGAAAACTGATGTGATTTGTAATCACACCTGCTTTGAAATCTGATTCTCCCTTGCTTAGATTTGTGAGCTTTAGCAATTTCTTAAAGTCTTTTACAAAATAGGTATAAAATATTTACCATATATGAATATGAAGAGGATTTCTAAAAGGACATATTTCTTTCATACTTTAATTCAGTTTTCTGGTCCTTCATAATCCACTATATTCAACAACATTGGCTACTCTATTTTATTTATTTATTTTGGTACTGGGGATCAAACTCGGGACCTTGTACTTGCGAGGCAGGCAGTGGAACCACTGAGCTAAAACCTCTGGCCTTACCCTATTTTAAAAGAATAAGAGCATCTATTACCCAAAATTCTTGGAACCAAATGTATTTTGGATTTTGGAATATTTCCATGATTTCAGGGATGGAACCTATGTTTAAATATGAAATTTACACACACACACACACACACACATACTGGAGGTAAATTTATACACTATTTTTAGTGCACCTGTGTTTTGACTGTGACCCATTACAGAAGTCAGGCATGAAATTTTCCACTTAATATTCACCCTGTGTTAGGTGCATTCCCTTCCACCCTCTTATATATCCTATTTGATTAGAATAAGCCAGTGTCTGATTTAATATAAGATCTTTTTCATACAGGGCTCTGGGAAGTCTGCAAGCCTGGTAACATGCACACCTCCTAAACTTCTGGAGTCGGATGGGTGAAATCTCAGGACCTTTCTTTCCAAGGGCAGCAACAATGCCCTGAACTGCATGAGCTAGGTGTCATTAGTGCTGCACACTTGATAGGTGGTGCAGTCGCTTTCCTTAAGCAAGTTGCTTCCTACTGCTTTCTCTTCATAAGTCATTGAGGTTAATGAGAAGTGGAAGACCATACAGTGTGAAACGCGTGACCCATTATCAACAGAGCTGAATTTAAAAAATAGAATTTGAGATTACAAAAGCAAAAGAATGATTAACTGAGAAATTCAGGGTACTAGTCAAATCCTGGGGAGAGCAGTGGGTGTTAACTGGGAGAGTCGTGTGGGGAATTTCAGCCGAAGCTACTAGAGATGGAGGAGTTTCACTTTCTTAAGCTGCACATGTACTTACAGTTGAGTTTTCTGATGTCTATAGTAGAAAATACTGTAACTGATAAATCCTGCTTTTTCAAATCTGCTATGAAATTCAAATTAGAGAACTTACTCTTAGACACTAAGGAAACAACAAAATACAATAGTGTGACGTCCTGTGTTTGTATTGTCAAAGAAATGGCCAGTCAAACTTTAAATAGTATCCTGCTCCATGGAATTGATCTTGAAAATGAGCTGGGCAATGTGCCTGAGAAACACTGATAGCAAAAGCCATAAGCCATAGGAGTTACAATTTATAATATCAGTTTTTAGTACCATGCAGTTCTTGAACAAAAACATGCAGTTTGCTAGTTTTCTTGTACCTCCCCTGGATTCTTAATGTCCTTAACCTTCAGTTTAATGTCTCCTTGGAAAAGACATCCCTAAATTTACCCCATTAATGTATCTATTTGTTTGTTTGCTTGTTTATTTTGAGACAAGGTCTTGCTATGTAGTTTAGGCTAAACTGAACGCAAGGTGATCTTCCTGCCTCGGTCTCCTAAGTACTGAGATTACAAGTGTGTGCCACCACGCCTGGCTGCTTGTTTTCTTGATAGCACCTATTAAGCTTATAATTATGTGTTCCTAAATGGCCTCTCTCACCATGGCTCTACTATTAATCACAGGCTTGTTGACTGACACTCAAATACTTCTGCAATGAGTGAATGGATATGCAGTCTGTCTTCACTTCTTTCCTTTTTCAGTCAAGGAAACTTGAGCCAGTGCCATCTGAAAGCAAATCATATGTTCAAAGTGAGGCTCAGAAAATGTAAATATTACACAAATTTGGAAGCAAAGTTTTTTTTCCTACTTTTGACTACAGCCTCGCATCTAAGAAATAGAAAAGTTAGGTTTCAAAGTAACCTCAGAGACAAAACTGAAGACAGCTCTCTGTCCCATCAGATACTGGTGGCGCACACTGTTTCCCATTCCTATTCTAGCCTGGACATAACCCAGTTGCACAAGTATGCGGTGGAGACAGAAGGCATCACCGTGCTGCTGTGGACCCACTGAGAGCAGCGTTCTCCCCACAAACAAGAACGAGAATGGCAGGGGTAAAAGGTGAGATCGGCTAAGCAGGTATCTAGACAGGAAAAGCAGAGGGCTGTTTTTAAAGACAACTACAACCATCTTAGACAAGCAAAGACCTACCCATTTACTGCAGGATGAGTACTGCTGCTTGGAAAGAGATTTTCAGTGTACTTGATTCTTTTCAGGGGACTTAACTATTACTCTGGGACATTTTATAGAGAAGCCATTTATCATGGTTTGGGTCCCTGGCACCCAACAATGTTGTAATTTCAAGAATATATTATAATTACTGTTCAAACAAAGAAACAAAAACCCCCAATCATTCTGTATTTCTTTTAACAAATTAATTGTCTAAATATCAAGATTATTATACGCAACTCCTCTTTTCCTCCTATCTTTGACAGATTTTTCTTTACTTACAGAATTAAAGGTTCTCATATTTTCTTGCTTCTCAATAAGGAAATAAGAATCAATTAAATTACTAAATTCAAGTCATTTCACAAATATTATTGAGCATCTAGCAAGACACGGTCTTAGGCCAATACATCATACAAATTCTATTAAGTCTAGAAAGCAACAGTTGGTTTGTAAGATGACTATGTTGCTCAATGACATCATGGAGTTCTATGTATTAGAAATACAAGCTTCATCACTATAGTTTAAACATTATCTTATGTGAGTTGGAAAGAGAACCAAATCTTAAAGATAGCTCATCACAAGAGATTAGTTAATAATCAGGCTGGGGAATAAGTTTAGGAGCAAACCACATGGTACTAATTCCAGATGCATTGTGAATAAAAAGAGAAAATAGAAATAGTGCTGGAAATAGTGCTAGAAGGACTGCAGCCGACTGTGTCAAAGAGCTAAGTATCTAAGATGGACATTGGAAGATGAGAGAGTCAACAAGAAGGAGGGGGAGAGGAAGGAATTCACAGCCAGCAGGAATAGAGGCACAAAGTAACACTTTTTTAAAGCACTTAAGAGCTCCAAGGCTTAGGAAAATTACCTATGACCATGTTCTCAGTTTCCACCTCTGTGAAATGTGATGTTCACAGCATGTACCTCACAGGATTACTGGGAAGATGACAGAAGTGGTGTACATCGAGCATTTAGAACGGTGCCTAGCATGTAAGTGTGGATATGGAGAGGCCCACACAAAACATTCAGCATGGAAGTGAATCACAGAGACACGACTGGTTAGGGGAAACAGAAAGAATGAGGGGAAGGAGTCTAAAAAGATGCCAAGAATTCTTGACCAGAATTTCCAAGAATGTGCACATAACTCTTACTGACTGCTTTTTCAGTGCCCAACTCTATTCTAGGTGCTGGGAATACAATGTTGAACAAAACTAAGTCACAATACTTACTAAAAATTACCTTCTATGGAGGAGATGGTAGAGAGAGATAGGAAGAAACAAAAGAATTGAAGGAAGGACATATCAGGAGGTAGCAAGTGGCACAAAATGACTGGCGTGTCAGCAGATAGCCAGACTAGATAGTGTAGTTGAACCTCTGAAGAGGTGACACTAGGAGGCTATGAATGACCGGAAGTTCCAGTTGTGTACAGACCCACAGAGAGAGCTACGCAGTGTCAAGTTCCCATGGTCAGAAAGAGCCTGGCAGGGCCAACCTCTGAGGAAAGAGACAAGGAAACAGTATTTCTCACACTTATTATTCTAATATAAGAACTTGTTTTCAGAGCGCATATTAAAAATACTTTAGGAAACTTTTAAAAGGACAGAATTTAATGTTAGCATGTAAGGTTGGTGTTAGAAATAAAAATGAAGTAGTTGGGGAGGAGAAACATGAGAAAAGAAAAGTAAGTTTTTGAGGCAAAGCTTTGGCAGCTGAATTTGTTTTTCTATAAAACCTATTGTGCTGGGGTTTAATGTAAGAGTGTTGTGGGTCAGCCCCAAATGGCACCTGCTTCTGAGAAATGAAGGGTGGCAACTCATGAGGAAATAAAGAGAGTTATCTGATGACAAAGAGATTTTCTTCATGATGGTTTGCCTAGTTTTGTAAAAATGCTTATTCAAAGTAAATTTTTAATAAAACCTGAACTTCTCACAAAAATCCATACTCAGGGGCTGACCTTAACTGGTAAACAATTCAGCTGGCCTCCCACACTTACATGTCAGTGTATACACACTCGGCCCAGCTGTGCAAAAAACATTACTGACCTGTTTACTCTGGCCTTAACAGTAAGTCACTTGCCATTTAAAAATAATGTTCATGTGGTTGAATAAACACACACACACGCATCTGGAAAATAAACTGTCTACATTTGACCACTTCCAAATCCCAGGAGGTTATTTTTTTTAAATTTTGGCTACTGAATAACCTTGAATAATCCTATCCTTGATGTATTATTCTAGGTCAGTTCTGTCAGTATATTTCAAAAACTCAAATATCCAGAGAACAACATTGATTTAAGAGCTCAGGTGCCTGTGTAGCAAGCAGACTTTTTTTTAAAAAACCACTAAAATTCCTCTTACTGGGTTTGTCTCCAATTCAGTGACATCTGAAGGTAACTAAATTCCACAAAAAATTCAGAGTGAGGGCTGGAATTTAGCTCAGTGGTGCTGTTGCCTGCCTCAGAAGTGCAAAGTCTGGAGTTCAATCCCCAGTTCAAAAAAAAAAAAAAAAAATCAGAGGGGGCAAATTCCTTAATGCGTTTCTTATATTCAAGAATGTAGTATTTTCATCAATATATAAAATAGCCCATGATACAACAGTTTTTATATCATATCTATTTTTAAACTGCATTTTATCATGATGCCAAAGTGTTTAAAGTACAACAAACAGGCACTTTGTGCTTTTTCTATTCTAACATGCAGCTCTCTTCAAAGACCTTCTGTAAGCATAAAGCGACACAGGTGTGTAGTCTACAGCAACCCGTTCCCTCTGACAGCCTGGAGCAATGCCGTCTGCCCCTGGGAAGCCCCTGGGAAGCCCCTGGGACAGAGACATTTCAGGAGAATATCACCAGGCACAGAGACTCTGGGGCCCTGCCTCTTCATCTGTGAAATACTTGCCCAGGATAGGATCCAACTTTATGTGGAATCCTCTAAAATACGGTACCCTAACAAGCCCCAGCACAAGAGCCTGGGAATGCCCTGCCTTCAAGTCTCTGACGGCTACTGGAGGGTGGCAGGGCTCCCACCTGGCTGTTTTCTGAAAGGCAAGAGAAAGACAGGAATAATGGGACGTCTACAAAGTCCAGTGCCCCTTTTGTCTGTCGGGTTCTTTGCTGGGCTTGAACTTTTGATCCTCCTGCCTCAGCCTCCCCGAATGCTTAGATGACAGGTATGTGCCACCGTGCCTGGCTGTTGGGTTCTTTTTTATTGGTCACTACTTAACTAATGTTTCTATTTGAAAACTGCCTACAATGGCCTGTACAACTGAAATTAAAAAGTACAATTAAATCTGTTACAAACTTTTCCCTGAGACTAGGGGGAGGCGGATTGTTTTGTTGCTTCTCGAACAGTCTTCTTTAATCAAGAAATATTAGACATCATGTTTACTGTAGATGGGAGATTTCCAACACATCCAAGACTGGCTCACATCACAAAACTCTGCAGATTCAAGCTTTTCTCAAGCTTGTTCTATAACCCTGGGCAATTCCCCTACCTCTCAAGTGCAGAAAGATTGCAGTGTTCCCTACCTGTTTCCCCCCAAGTCAAGGGAAAGAGAGAGACACTGAATTAAAGCTCTCAGTACTTCATTAAAAGCTCTTAGTGACAACAGTAGGGTAACAATTCATGCCAAAGCCTTACTTATATAAAAGAGGCAGTGAAGAGACACTGTCGCTAGAGGCCATGTGCCACTCCCAGATAAGTGCAGATTTCAAGACTGTGAAGCAGGGCGGACACAACAGGGCCTGTCTGATTCTCCGAGAGTAAGCTTGGTAGCACCATGCAGAGACCAGCAGAGGCAGAAATGCTACATTACATCTCCATGGCAGGGCCAACTCTGGATTCCGACCAGAAGGCTAAGTTTCTGTGTGTAAAAACATGAGTACAGCAGTGGGAGCTGTCAGATTTACTCTCAGCAATACATCTATGTTATAACAGATCTCTAAGGCCTTGTCAATATTTGTGTCTGTCAGTGTCTCTGAGGACGGCGACATTTCTCCACCAGGGACTCCAGGAGCCTGGCAGAAGGGTGTCCTCCCCCGAAGACAGACACCTAAGGTACTAGATATGAAACTCCCCACGCTGCAGTGAGCCAGCTGCTGCACACTGTTGCTTTGAGCCCAGGCTTTTTGACTTGTTGGCCTGGGGCTTCATCATTAGCGTCCAGGACCTTTGCTCCCTGTCTTGACCCCTGCTGCCCAGATACTGGAGAAACAGAACCTTATCTCTATGGACTATTTAGCAACTTAGTGCATATCACATACCACATTTCTTGCTTCCAAATTAAACACACAAATAGAATAAACACAAGGTTTGCAGTTGGTACTTAAGAAAACAGGTATCTAAAAATGACGTTGAAGAGTTTGGCCAATGGCAGACAAAAACCTAATGAATTTTTGTTTCAACCCGTCATTCATAATCAACCCCCATTTTCTAGCACCTACAGTTTGACAGTGATTGGCAGTTCCTATAGGTTCAAGGACACCAGTTAGTCATGGCAGCCTTGAAAGAGACACTTGATTTTTGCCAGATTATTTAGAATATTGAAAAGGATAAATAGCAACATTTTTGCCTTTAATTCAGATTGCAAAGGATGGATCCCACAATATGCCAGAGGAAAAATGATGCAAATGACACATTATCGAACCAAAAGAATGCATTCTTCGAGTGTGGGTGACTTAGCAACAGGAAAGTTCCTTCAAGACAAGAGGGTGACCACATAATGCTGGCTTACTGGGCTGCCGTAGAGCTAAGAATCTGCAGCCTAGGACACATCTTTAATCATTCTGCCTACTTTCTGGTCTGATTTTCCACAGCTGCAAATCAGCATGACCTCTCCATTAATTTCTAAGGAATGTCAAGAACCCTTGGACCCTTTCGTGGTAACAATTATAAAATATTTTGGCTCCACAGAGTGAGTAACTATATAGATGGTGCTAAGTGTTCCGTCCTATTAGTCAATGTAAACCCTTAAAACTTGTCACCTTCCTAAGAGTTTCAAAGTGGAAGATCAGAACAAACCACTCTTTCTACTGCAGACGACTCAAGGCCTGACTACCCAATGTCTTCGGAAGGCTGGTCTTTGATCACATTTTGTATGAGAAGGATCAGAATAGATGATTTTTTCAGTACTTACCTTCTTGGGAAACAATTCAGTACCATGTTAGTGAGAGCACTGGCATGTAACAAACTCCCACCTGCAAATCTCTCTTAATAGTTTCAAACAGAAAAGTTGGGGTACGGAGCAGTTTTTCCCGAGGCACACTCACTGACTCATCTTTCAACAGAGTGAATTATCACATCATTACTGTACAGATTCTCCTCCTTTCCTTATTTATTTACGTATTTATCTGACTATGCTTTTTCTAAAAAGGATTTGGGAAGCAGCCAGATTTCAAACATACAATTGATGTCATCAACGCTTAGAAAATACCCAGCAAAAAGAAGGCTAAGGGAAGCTTCCCGTCCACCTAGTCAAGGTCAGATATAGCAAGGCCTGTGGTTAACACAGCCTGAGGAATTCGAAGGTCTTCTCCATTTTACTGTTCGTTAAAAGAGTTTCCTTTTTTCCTCTCTGAACTATGTTAGGCTTCTGACAAACTCTGAAGTGGGATTTCTGCCGAAAGAGTTGAGATATGGGTACTGGCTTGGCCTTTGTTAGCACGTAGGCATTTTTTAAATCGTTGGTAAAATGAGATAAATGCTACTCTTCACTCGTTTACCTCTTCAACATAACGTGCCAAACACCTGAAGAATATGTTTCTCTGGAAGGTTCTTCTGCACTTTTGTAGATGTCATCTTATTTATCTTCAATGATTTTCTATTTCACAGAGTTCCTAGAAAGCCAGAAGTGGCATAGTCCTAGCTACTCAGGAGTCTGAGACTGGAGGATCACTTGAGCCCAGGAATTTGAGACCAGTCTGGGCATCATGGACAGACTCTATTTCAAACAAACAAACAAACAAGCAAACAGTGCATAGGCCTTCTATGATGAAGTCAGAAGAAACACATACATACTAGCTAATCTGCAAATAGAAAAACTCGGCATGGAGGAGTCCTGTAAATATACCTATACATCACGGCCGCCAGGGACAGAACCAGTACTATTGTTTCTCACTAAAACTGTATATATCTCCATCTATTTACAAATATATATACACATATACACACATATATATACATACACACACACACATATATAAAGATATTTTCCATTTTCCAATCACAGGTTGTATGTAAAGCCTAATTTTCTAATTCTGTTTAGGTTTTTCTAAAACACTTCTGTTGTAGAACTGGGATTGAGCCCAGGGTCTTCACAATGAGCTACATCCCTAGACCTTCTATTTTTATTTTTTAATTTTGGTACAGATTTGCACTAAGTTTCCCAAGTTGGGCTCGAACTTTCAACACTCCTGCCTCAGTCTCACAGAGTGCTAGAATTACAGGCCTGTGCTACCACCTCCAGCCCTAAAACACTTAAGTGTGTAGTTAACCCAGACTTCCACATCTGTTGTAATACGGAGCAGAAACGCTAAGATCCATAGTTTGGTGGTGAGAGTGTGAATTTTGGAGTGAGACAAGGATTCAAATCTGAGTTTAATGGCTATGTGACCTTGAGGAGATCAACTACCAGACTCCTTAGTTGTGCGAGACAGTGTTATCTCGGCAGTGTTGTATCAACTGAAATAATATTTGAGAACTGTTTAGCACAGTCCTCGACAAATGCTAGCTAAGACTACTGTCGCCATAATCATTAAAGAGCGGGCTGAAGAGATTTTGAATAGTTGCTAAACATCTTACATTTAACTTAAAAGAAAAAGTGTTGATCTTGGTAATGATAAGGGAGCTATGCAATAGCAGCTTGTTAAAGCTAAAGTGCTGTGATAATTTAAAATCAGATGGAGAAAAACTGATAGAATTCTACACCGGTATTCCTGGGTTGTGGGCATACTATTTATATATTTGTGGGCACACTTGTATATACCCATTTATCTATTTTGGCGGTGCTGGGAGTTGAACCCAGGGGTTTCTCACTGAGTGACATCCCCAGCATCCCTCCCCTGTCTCCAGACACGGTCTCTCTGTTGCCCAGGCTGGATCGGAACTTGGGATTCTCCTGCCTCAGCCTCCCGTGCTCGGTTTGCAGGCATACGCCACCAAGCCTGGATGCGGGCGCTCCTTTTCAAGGAGTGTGGGGATGGGGCAGCGGGTCACTCACGCGGGGGTGACGCCTTTTGGCAGCCCCAAGGCGTTGACGGCCACGGGCGGCGGCTGCGAGGGCAGCAGGGCGCTGAG